ACTTTCAATATCTGATCTTATACCCACATGAAATTGTGTTTGTTGTAGTATCTAAATGTGGCTCTGATTGTTTTTAGAATTTTGCAAGTCTATTCTAAAATTGAGAGAAGTTCTCAGTCTTTTTGAACTTATGTTTTTGCTGATGCTCATCTTTTTTTTTTCACTTTTATGACTTTTTAAATGCAGGAAGGTTACTAACTGCATTAATATGTGAATACTTAGACTGGGCTCAACTAAACCACACAATGAAAGTTTATCTGCCTGAATGTAATTGGTAATCAAGTAATTTTGCAATGCATAGTTAATGTAATCCATTATTACTTTATATATGTATAGTTATATTTGCTATATGTGGATGACTTCATGTTCATTGCACAGCAAAAAGTGCTTGGAAATCTGAGTTGAAGGAATTTAGTAGCAAAAATGGTTATGATCTTAACAAAAATGGAGATAGTGCTCCTTTGCTTTGGATGTTCTGGAAGATTTTTGAAGTTTGAGGTATGATGTTGCACTGTTTCTAGGGTCAACTTTCCAAGATTTTTTGTTTTATCGGAATCAAGTCAACTTTTCTGAGATTCAAACATGTAATGTGGAACCTTTGATAGTTGAAGTTTGAAACTTTGATGGTATCCTTTTTGAATGTGGTTCGTCTTCGTTTTTCATTGTTTTTTATCTACAAAAATCATACATGCTATTCATTGCTTTTTATATTCTGATTATCTTGAAAAAAGGCTAAAGCGTATTGGTTATCAACTGTTCTGGGATTGAGTTTTTTGTTTTCTGCAATTTCCGCAGAATTCATCCCACAGGGCTAGGGGAAGGAGACCACCAGAATCTGAGCCTTGTCCAATTTAGAGTCCAGGAATGTACGAAGACCTTCATCATCGTCTGTTGCTGGGGCTTACCTCCATTGGGAGTTGCTTGGCCACATTTCCATTTTTCATTCTCTTTTATTTCTTTCTCTGCTGTTTTGCTTTTCCTATTCATGTCACTTGCGGTTATATGTTTTTTGGTGTCACATTCACAATAGGCCCCTTCCTGCTTCTCAAGCATTCTGGTAACTGATTATTTTATGTTGTATTTGTTCCTTCCTCTTGCTGGTCTCTTCTGTATCTGATACTTTCTGCGATTTAGATAGGAGAGCTGGGTCATCCATGTCTGGTTACAGGAAAGATGAATACGGAGATATGACAGCGATGACTTTCAATGATGTGATTCGAGCATCGGGCTGCCTGGAAACCTTCAGTTGGACAGAAAAGTGGAATCTAACTACATCATGGCGGTTTGTTTTTCAACACCCTTTGAACCAAAATTTTCTTTCAATTTTGTATATATTAAAAAGGTGAACTTTGGATACTTCCGTAGACAAATTTTGTAGTGGTAGTATGGGCCTCATGGTTGGAGGGATATTTGGTTCTTTAAGATACGGGATAATTTTTGCTTTACGATGAGGATTTTCAGCAGTTTTGGTGGTTCATCTATTGTTGCATATCAGCCTTTGGAACTGACATGTCTTTAACCATCCAATGGCTACATATTTAAGTATTAACATCCTTTTGTTTCTATTTGAGCTCCTCAGTGTGTTGAGGAAGGTGTTCAGTTTGCCTTCAGATAAGATTGAGATGTCAATTATGGTGTTGGGATGCCTTTTTATTGTGTCAACTAATGTCATATTCTAAAGCCTAGAAGGTTTGAAACAACCATGCAAAAAACGTAATCAACAGAAAGAATTTCTTCCACGCATAATCCTTGTTTCCCCTGGATTCTTTCTCCATCATTAATACTGTCATGTTGCTGCTATTGTTCATGGTTTCTGCTGAATGTTACATGGTTTGCTATTGTTTGTCGTGATTTTTCTGCCAGTTTTTACATGGAAGATGGATTTGACAATTAGGCGTATTTGAACCATACAAAATTTGTGTGTCTGTGTGTCCAGCAACTAGATCCTGTACTTTTTTAATGTTACTTTATTCTTAGAGATCAAGTCTGATTTTCGTTATCACAATTCAGCATGGGCTCATTTGTTCATTTTACTCTTATAAAGTATGAGTAGTAGATTCCTCATTCCTTTCTTCGTGTCCCTTATCATATGGCTGTCATGGCATATAATCTCAAGAATTATTCTGATCATCATGTGCTCAGCAGTGAAATGTCAATAATGATCTGCCGGATTTGGTTGCGGGCATGCCGGTGATGGAATCAACGATGATGATGGTAGGCATGATCATATGTAGAGTGAGGGGCATCCTGTGTAATACGGCACGTTAGTTAGTGTGTATCTTTAATTTGCATTGTAATGTTTTATTAACCATCAATTGAGGATAGTGTTATGTACTTTACATATTCTGCCATCTGCTTTAGTTTTTTTTTGTCTGGCTTCCAGTTTCTTATTTTTTTTTGTTTCATCTGAATTCATTAAAAATTTCAGTGCTTGTTCCTCTACAAACTTTACATTGCATAGAATCTCCAAAGTATAAATCAATGCATAAAAAGTCCAGTTCAAGCTCGAACAATCAATTCAGCTTCCTTTTATAAATATCTCTTTGAATTTGATAATAAAATAGTGCCAGGAATCAAAGAGTTTATTCCCATAATTATGCCCTTTTTCTAAACAGTTTTGTATAAAATATCTTTCTGGAGGAGTATCTGTCATTTGCTTTTTTAAAACAAGAAAAACTTCCCAAACAAAAACACTCCCAAATTTATTCAATATCATTTATCACCATCCCGATAGCTGTACACTGTCCTTTTCTCTATGTAGTCTAGAAAAAGAAAAATTAAAACCTCGTGGCTAAATTTAAACGTCAACATCAGCTCACGTGTCTCTCCTCACTTCAGGGACTCAGATTTCCAAAGAAAGCGACCAGACCTCCGTTAAACTCTTCAAAGTCCAAAGCTTCACAATTCTCTCTCTCTGTCGCTCTGAAACTGTGACGATGTCGTTTTTAAACCGTTGTCTGAGAGCGAGAGCCTGTCATCAACAGAGACATTACTATTCGTACTCGACCTTTCTCTTCGTCTTCTTGTGTTAATCGGAACTGACCTTCAAACTAGGTGCGTCTTTTCCTACCAAGCCTCCGTCTTCTCTTACGAAAATCTCCAAGGACAGAAATGTCCAATGGGTTTTTCTCGGTTTGCCCCGGCGTCGGGAAGGTACTTACGCTTCTAGGCTCTCTATATGTTGGGAGTCCCTCACATCGCCACCGTGATCTCGTCCGCGAGACTCGCTTCGTCGGGCCCACTTGCCTCTCAGGTGCTTTTTAGCTTTTTAATTTGTGATTTTTGATTATGTTTTTCAGCTTAAACAATCAAATTATAATTTAGAGAAATAAATTCGAGTTACAGGCTGATTGAATTGTACGCGTATTTGAGTGGTTAGCTAGATTAGATGGTAGGAAAGTGATTTAGTGTTAATTGAATTATTGTAAAAGCCTCTAGCTCTTGTATTAATTGTGAATTGACATGAGTTGTCAATTCGCTCTACTTTTTGTTTGTTCTCTTGATGTTAGATTTAAAGCTGAACCGTGAGCATCAAGAATCTGGGAAAGAGGTATTGTTTTAAACTGATGTTATTGTTGTTTTTGCAATTAAAACATTAAGGAGTGTGAGAAATATTGGAGGCGATTTTATGGATTTCTGAATACTCTGTTTGGAGAGAGGGACGGAGTACGTGGGGTATTGAGTATTCAGAAACCATAAAATTTGGTATGACTATTGAGGACTACTTTTACTTGAAACATTTCTTCAGAATAACCCTATTTACCCTCTTAGCAGGCTATTCTTTTATAAACATTACTCATATAAGCTGTACCAAACAGACCATAAAATCCTTAATGATAAGAATTTATTAGAGTAAAGTATATGAAATTATAGCCTTTATAAAATATTTTATTTGTTGTTTGGTTAAGGAAATATAATTTTTTTTTAGTATTGGTTTAAAAAAAAATAATAATATACAAGAATAATTTAATTTAACTTTAAGAAAAAAAATTAAATAATTTAATTTAAATTTATGAAATAGAATAATTTTTTTTCTTAAATTTCAAAATATATATATACAAAAAACTCTGTTATGCTTGAAAAGGTAGGGTTGACGTAGAGTCTTATCAGCATGGGGTGGTCAGAACTTGAAAAAGTTCTGCGACATTTCAGATGCAGCCACGTCGCATAATGACGTAGGTGGCACGCCCCTGTCAGTGCAATGGGTGAGTGTCAGATTAGTAGATGGTTGGAAATCATCCACGTGTCTAAACCCTGCATAAGTCGAGGAAATTGCTCGAGCAGGTGAGCAATGGGACGCAAAGAATGATTTGCACGATACCCATCCACTTACAGATTTAGTAATTATTATCTTGGTTCAGCCCACTATAAATAGAGGTCTTCACTCTCATTTGCGGGATTGGCTAATTTTATGCTAAAATAGTTTACTCTCTCTCTCTCTCTCTCTCTTTTATATTCTCTTTAAATTGTAACTCAGCTCGTTAAACGCAACCTGACCTTACTCTCATTAATACAATATCAGTGGACGTAGAATTCTCTTTTGAGCATCCGAACCATTTTAAATATTGTCTTTCACCCTTTATTTAACTAAATATTCGCATATTGCATGTAACTTTTAAGCCCGTTTAGCATTTCTCACGTGTAAATAGTTGGTGTCAAAATCAAGTATCAACGTTATCAAATTCTTAAAAAACCGTTTTTAATGTACAACCAAATATGCTCATTATTTTATATTGACGTAATCACAGTTATGTAATAAAAATAACCTAAACTTCCGTCATTTATAAATTATAATGCACTAGATAGTAGATACAAATTACAAGCGCAACACCATAACAAAATTCGAATTTTAAATATCATCGGGACCCATAATCTAACGGCCCAGATCCTACTCGCGCATAACATCAGGGGGAGCCCACACGCACCAAAATAAATCATAATTGCACCCATCTCTTGCCGGAAGTGTAATAGTATTACTGCTCTACTTTTGTTTATTCTCACCCACACCTCAAACGCAAACCATTCCACTGAAGAAGAAAAGTTTTAAAACGACACCGTGCGAGACGGTGTGTTTGCAGTTTCAATAATGGACGATTACACGAGAGAAATGATGGACCTGAAAACCCTAGTCACTCGAACGCTTGAGAAGAAGGGCGTCCTCGCTAAGATCCGGGTACCAATTCCAAAACTAAACTTCTTTTATTTCGTTCACAATTTGTGTTTAGTTGTTTTGTTGCCGAGATGGTTTGATCAAGTTGAGAAGGGGGGAAATGAGACTAATTAGTGTTTCTTATTTAAGTTGGATCTCGTATAATGTATTAAAATCGAGGAATTTTTACGAGTTATAGATCTCATTTCTTCTTCTTTTTTTGAATTAAAAAAAAAAAAATTACGCGGAATTAGGGTTTTGTGAAGTTTAAATTAAGTAACTTATGGCTGGATTAATGTTGTTTGGAATATCACTTCTTTGAGAAGATGGATGGATAGGATTAAAATTTCGAATCCGAAAGCTCATTTGAAGTTAGGGTTTTGCTGCTCTATGAGTAAGGCTTTAATATGGTTGTTCGGGTAATGATTGAAAGTGTTTCAGTTTTGGAATTCGTTTTCTAAAATTTCTGAAAATGGATCTTTTATTAACGTTATCAGTCTTTTTTAGATTATTTCTGTAATCTTTTAGTGTTTATTTAATGCGGTATAATCATATGAATTTGCTGGAGGCAATTTCTTTTGATATCAATATTCAATAGGAGATGGAAATATACCACCAAACGATGGTCAGAATTTTTATGTGCTATGACTATCAAGAGTTGTTATGTGCTAGGAACACATTCTGAACATATTGTTGAATGTTGGACAAAGCTGTGGAATTCTTACTATTGGTTCAGATTATCTGTTTGGAGGAGTGAGAGTAGTTGTGTTATGATACTTTTAGTGCTGATTGCCTATATAACTTGCCGTTTTGTATGTCACTGTGGTGGTATTAATTGTATGAATTAGAGTAGTATCCTTATTTGACTGACTGACGTTTGGGAGGTTTGCTATCTAACCATTTAGTTAATATGGCTTTTGGTTTTTCGAAGAACCAGATGCTATCACCCAATTTTTGTTGCACCTTTTTAACTCAATTCTTTTGTTTTCTTGCTAGGCCGAACTCAGAGCCAGTGTTTTTGAAGCTATTGAAGAGGAGGACCAGGTGATTGAAAAGGAGGAAGGTCTGCCTCCTGCCTTATTGGGTAGCTGCAATGATCGCGCAAAACAACTTCATGCTTCTCCCTCAGGTCACTCTGCATATATTAACTTTGTTCTCTCCTTTTTAACTTTGAAAGAAATCCTTATTTGGTGTTGGGAAATTCACTCAACATATATATAGATAGTGTTATTTGAATATGTTGGTTGTTTATTGATTATAGTTCTCTAATTAAGAAATTGTCTGAGCCATTTGTTGCACTTATCATATCCATTAGGATGGTAATGGGTGAGTTCCAGGATGGTAATAGAAATTGCATAAATAGTGGCTTGGTATTCCTCAAATGATAAGAATATTACAAATCAAAGTGATATGTATAAAAACCAAATTTTATGCACCAATACTATTCTTGTGGGAGCATGCAGTTTCTAAGTGTCTAGAGGGAAAAGCGGTTGTCTTTAATGGTTATACAACTATAATATATGATTCATATATTACTATTACTGTCTCTATATTCCTTTAGCATGTTAATTTTTAGTCGAGAGTTTTAGTAATATAAATGAATTACTAGCTGCATACAAAGAAGATAATTTTAGGTGTTTACTTGTACTTCCCCCATGATCTGTGTAATTCTCTTTCACACCCAGTATTTTCAATATCTGATCTTATACCCAACATGAAATTGTTGTTTGATGTAGTATCTAAATGTGGCTCTGATTGTTTTTAGAATTTTGGCATAAGTGCTATTCTAAAATTGAGAGAAGTTCTCAGTCTTTTTGAACTTATGTTTTTGCTTATGCTCATCTTTTTCTTTTTTTTTCACTTTTATGACTTTTTAAATGCAGGAAGGTTACTAACTGCATTAATATGTGAATACTTAGACTGGGCTCAACTAAACCACACAATGAAAGTTTATCTGCCAGAATGTAATTTGGTAATCAAGTAATTTTGCAATGCATAGTTATAATGTAATCCATTATTACTTTATATATGTGTAGTTATATTTGCTTATATGTGAATGACTTCATGTTCATTGCAGCAAAAAGATGCTTGGAAATCTGAGTTGAAGGAATTTAGTAGCAAAAATGGTTATGATCTTAACAAAAATGGAGATAGTGCTCCTTTGCTTTTGGATGTTCTGGAAGGATTTTTGAAGTTTGAGGTATGATGTTGCACCTGTTTCTAGGGTCAACTTTCCCAAGATTTTTTGTTTTATAGGAAATCAAGTCAACTTTTCTGAGATTCAAACATGTAATGTGGAACTTCTTTGATAGTTGAAGTTTGAAACTTTGATGGTATCCTTTTTGAATGCGGTTCATCTTCGTTTTTCATTGTTTTTATCTACAAAAAATCATACATGCTATTCATTGCTTTTTAATTTCTGATTATCTTTGAAAAAAGGCTAAAGCTGTATTGGTTATCAACTAGTTCTGGGATTGAGTTTTGTTTTTCTGCAATTTCCGCAGAATTCATCCCAAGCAAGGGCTAGTGGAAGGAGACCACCAGAATCTGAGGTCTTGTCCAATTTAGAGTCCAGGAATGTACGAAGACCTTCATCATCGTCTGTTGCTGGGGGCTTACCTCCATTGGGAAGGTGCTTGGCCAACATTTCCATTTTTCATTCTCTTTTATTTCTTTCTCTGCTGTTTTGCTTTTCCTATTCATGTCACTTGCGGTTAATATGTTTTTTTTGTGTCACATTCACAATAGGCCCCTTCCTGCTTCTCAAGCATCTGGTAAGTGATTATTTTATGTTGTATTTATTCTATTTTCCTCTTGCTGTCTCTTCTGTATCTGATACTTTCTGCGATTTAGATAGGAGAGCTGGGTCATCCATGTCTGGTTACAGGAAAGATGAATACAATTGGAGATATGACAGCGATGAGCTTTCAGATGATGTGATTCGAGCATCGGCTGCACTGGAAAACCTTCAGTTGGACAGAAAAGCTCGGAATCTAACTACATCATGGCGGTTTGTTTTTCAACACCCTTTGAACCAAAATTTTCTTTCAATTTTGTATATATTAAAAAAAGGTGAACTTTGGATACTTCCGTAGACAAATTTTTGTAGTGGTAGTATGGGCCTCATGGTTGGAGGAGATATTTGGGTCTTTAAGATACGGGATAATTTTTGCTTTACGATGAGGATTTTCAGCAGTTTTGGTGGTTCATCTATTTGTTGCATATCATGCCTTTGGAACTGACATGTCTTTTACCATCCAATGGCTACATATTTAAGTATTAACTCCTTTTGTTTCTATTTGAGCTCCTCAAGTGTGTTGAGGAAGGGTTCAGTTTGCCTTCAGATAAGAATTTGAGATGTCAATTATGGTGTTGGGATGCCTTTTTATTGTGTCAATCTAATGTCATATTCTAAAGCCTAGAAGGTTTGAAACAACTACGCAGAAAAACGTAATCAACAGAAAGAATTTCTTCCACGCATAATCCTTGTTTCCCCTGGATTCTTTCTTCAGTCATTAATACTGTCATTGTCTGTCCAAAAGGCTTTCTGCTGAATATTTACATGGTTTGCTATTGTTTGTCGATGATTTGTTCTGCCAGTTTTTACATGGAAGATGGATTTGACAATTAGGCGTATTTGAACCATACAAAATTTGTGTGTTTGTGTGTCCAGCAACTAGATCCTGTACTTTTTTAATGTTACTTTATTCTTAGAGATCAAGTCTGATTTTCGTTATCACAATTCAGCATGGGCCCATTTGTTCATTTTTACTCTTATAAAGTATGAGTAGTAGATTCCTCATTCCTTTCTTCGTTGTCCTTATCATATGGCTGTCATGGCATAAAACCTCAAGAATTCTTGATCATCATGTGCTCAGCAGTGAAATGTCTAATAATGATCTGGCGGATTTGGTTGCAGGCATGCCGGTGATGGAATCAACGATGATGATGGTAGGCATGATCATATGTAGTGAAGGGCATCCTGTGTAATACGGCACGTGTAGTTTAGTGTGTATCTTTAATTTGCAATTGTAATGTTTTATTAACCATCAATTGAGGATAGTGTTATGTACGTTTACATATTCTGCCATCTGCTTTAGTTTTTTTTTGTCTGGGCTTCCAGTTTCTTATTTTTTTTTGGTTTCATCTGAATTCATTTAAAAATTTCAGTGCTTGTTCCTCTACAAACTTGATCATTGCATTAGAATCTTCCAAAGTATAAATCAATGCATAGAAAGAAGTCCAGTTCAAGCTCGAACAATCAATTCAGCTTCCTTTATATAAATATCTCTTTGAATTTGATAATAAAATAGTGCCAGGAATCAAAGAGTTTATTCCCATAATTATGCCCTTTTTTCTAAACAGTTTGTTATAAAATATCTTTCTGGAGGAGTATCTGTCATTTGCTTTTTTAAAACAAGAAAAACACTTCCCAAAACAAAAACAACTCCCAAATTTATTCAATTATCAATTTATCACATCCACACATAGCTGTACACTTGTCCTTTTCCCTATGCAGAGTCTAGAAAAAGAAAAATTAAACCTCGTGGCAAAATTTACTAATTTAGACGTCAACATCAGGTCACGTGTCTCTCCTCACTTCAGGGACTCAGATTTCCATAAGAAAGCCGACCAGAAACCTCCGTTAAACTCTTCAAAGTCCAAAGCTTCACAATTCTCTCTCTCTGTCGCTCTGAAACTGTGACGATGTCGTTTTTAAACCGTGTTCTGAGAGCGAGAGCCTTGTCATCAACAGAGACATTACTATTCGTATCTCGACCTTTCTCTTCGTCTTCTTGTGTTAATTCCGGAACTGACCTTCAACTAGGTGCGTCTTTTCCTACCAAGCCTCCGTCTTCTCTTACGAAAATCTCCAAGGACAGAAATGTCCAATGGGTTTTTCTCGGTTGCCCCGGCGTCGGGAAAGGTACTTACGCTTCTAGGCTCTCCAATATGTTGGGAGTCCCTCACATCGCCACCGGTGATCTCGTCCGCGATGAGCTCGCTTCGTCGGGCCCACTTGCCTCTCAGGTCGCTTTTAGCTTTTTTAATTTGTGATTTTTGGATTATGTTTTTCAGCTTAAACAATCAAAATTAATAATTTAGAGAAAATAAAATTCGAGTTAATGTGGCTGATTGAAATTGTAGCTCGTATTTGAGTGGTTGAGCTAGATTAGATGGTAGGAAAGTGAATTTAGTGTTAATTGAATTATTGTAAAAGCCTCTAGCTCTTGTATTAATTGTTAATTGACAGTGAGGTTGTCAATTCGCTCTACTTTTTGTTTGTTCTCTTGATGTTAGATTTAAAGCTGAACCGTGAGCATCAAGAAATCTGGGAAAGAGGTGATTGTTGGTAAACTGATGTTATTGTTGTTTTTGCAATTAAAACATTAAAGGAGTGTGAGAAATATTGGGAGGCGATTTTATGGATTTCTGAATACTCTGTTTGGAGAGAGGGACGGAGTACGTGGGGTATTGAGTATTCAGAAATCCATAAAATTTTGGTATTGACTATTGAGGACTACTTTTACTTGAAACATTTTCTTCAGATTAACCCTATTTACCCTTCTTCCCCCACCAAACATAATGGAAACAAATTTGTGAACTAGTCTATTAGATGCCTGGGGATCAATGTATACTTTGATAGTGAAATCGCACCATCTTTAGTGGACCATTTTGTGTTGCATATATATATTTGTCTTTAAAATTTTGGGTTTCTTTGGTTGGGAACTCTTTGGATTGCGACTATATAGCACTACCTGAGATCTATATTGTCTTTAATTAGTGCAAAATATTGTTTTTAGAAACAATTGCTATTTCATTTTTTCACTACATAAGATACATTATGTTACTTTTACCTTTGCATGCTATGGTTATGGTTTAGAGACATGGCTACAGCAATGGTGAATTGAACTTGTGCATGCCAAGCTCTAAATTATTAGTTTAGGATTCGCTGTTTTCACTTTTATTTCCTCTTTTAGCTTTTTTTTTTCCTCCATTTTGCAGCTTGCAGAAATTGTGAATCATGGGAAATTAGTTTCAGATGAAATAATAATAAATTTATTGTCGAAGCGTCTTGAAGCTGGAGAAGCCAAGGGTGAATCTGGATTTATTCTTGATGGTTTTCCTCGAACTATAAGACAGGCGGTGAGCACTACTTGTGATCAATATCTGGAATATTGAAATGTTTGTTTGGCTCTTTATATGATTATGTCAATGTGGTAGGAATATTTAGAACTGAATAAGAAAAAGTGAAAAGATAGGCTTATAAATTTATATATTGAAAGGGAGCTTGTTTGAAGAAGACAGACAGATACAAAACCTTCTTAGGACTTCCAAATGTAGTCTTATATGCCTTTTGGTCTACAAATAAAGTTAACCATGTGTGAACAGCTCTTGTTCTAATAAATTTTCTTCTGTCATTTCAGTTTTTACTGTATATATCATGAGGAAATGTTTTTCCCAAAGTTTAGTGAATTGACATAGCAAGACAATTAAATACATTGAACTAATATATGCCTGATTCAAGGGATGGTCTTGGAGGTAAACTTTTAGATTATTGAATACTTATAGCAAGTACATGGAAGAGTTGATTGTCATACACTGGTATCCGAAGCATATTAGATTGTGGAATATCATTTTCTAGTCCCATTTTTCATTCTCCTTGAAACATTTCTCTGTGCTCTAACTTTTATTTTATCATTTTCTATTTTCTTCATTTCCTTACAGGAAATATTAGAGGGAGTGACGGACATTGACTTGGTGGTGAACCTGAAGCTGCAGGAAGAGGCGTTGGTTGCAAAATGCCTTGGAAGAAGAATATGTAGTGAGTGCGGGGGAAACTACAATGTTGCTTGTATTGACATCAAGGGTGAAAATGGCAGCCCTAGAATGTACATGGCTCCACTTCTTCCCCCTGCGCATTGTGAATCAAAGCTTATCACTCGACCTGATGACACTGAAGAAGTTGTCAAGGAACGGCTTCGTATATATAATGAGATGGTATTCTCCATTGTCTCAGATGTTTGTTAATTCATTCTCTAGAAATGCACTGACACACGAAGCCATTTTTATGTGATTCTATATTTCATGACATATTCGGAACATGCACCTAAAAGATATCTAGGGGATTTCTCTATATGGAGGTCTCATGTGTCCGAGGCATTGCTGCATGACACCTGTTTCTGTCCTCATTTTGAACACTTTTAAGATGTTCATATACATATACTAGCAAAATGTGCTGAAGAAGAAGGCTTTTTTTATCACTTTGTTCAAGAACTTAGCAATATCTCACATAAGTTGTTGTTCTTTCCTGTAAAGGCAAACTGAAAAGCAGATAAATCTGTGCATTGATTATGTAACTAAGTTTAAAAATCTTGCATATAGCTGCCTACTCTTGTTCTGGAGGTTAAGGTCCTTAAGGATGTTAGCATTTGACAGGTCCACGTCTAAATGCAAAATAGAACTTCCTCACACCCATTCTAGCTAGCTTTTCAACTGTCAAGCATGTTTTCTTATTTATTTTCATTAATCAATTAACAACACATGAACTATTTTTACTATGTCAAAGATACAAAATAATGCTTATCTGTGGTTCAGTGAGTAACAAGTGCTTCGCAAATTTATCTTTTAACCTGCAGACTCGGCCAGTGGAGGAGTTCTACCGCAGTCGTGGGAAGTTGTTAGAGTTCAATCTTCCAGGCGGTATCCCTGAATCCTGGCCAAAGCTGCTTCAAGCTCTGAATCTTGAAGACCATGATGATAAACAATCTGCAGCAGCATGAGTTTTTAGAATCCTGTAGTATATTTACAAAGTAAATTAGATCATTCTTTGCAAGTGTAGGAAGTGCATGCATATTATTTTTACAAAGAAGCAAATGAACATTTATTTGCAGTTAGTGGAAAGACAGCTACACTAATACTAGTTATAGTTCCCTTTCGAGGGTTTGGAGATGTGTATGACGGTTATGGTGTCCGAGATGAAGATGATGTCCTGCTGTTCTTAATGATAGTTGGCCGACAGATGGTTTAGTTTATAGTTGTTCTGTATATTTATAGCTGCGATTCCATCTTTTGTTCAAGAGAAATGCTATCCTTACAAAGACAAATACAAAGAGGGGCATACAAAGATAAATCTTGCCCTTAATCTTTATAATTGTCTCTCTTTCTCTCTTTTTTTCCCTTCTTTTAAGGGCAAGATTTGTCTTTGTATGCTTCTTTTTGTATTTATCTTTGTAAGGCTAGTACTTCTCAAGTAGATATATGTAGCACTTGTTTTAATGTTATGATGGTTAGAAAACACCTCGCCGTGATTTTTTTCCGAGTAGTAACCATTATAAAGGTTTTTCTGATACTCATGCAGTCATGCTCATATTTTTCTTTCTCTTATTCGTGGGAAAGTGTAGGGTGCCGATTGCTTCAAAACATGAGATTTTTGTTGTCTGTTTCTTTTCCAATTTTGTTAGTAACAAGTTGACCAAACACGCATATGCAGGTACACAAATAGGATGAACAAAATATTGGTGGTTCCCCACACTAAGAAAATAAATTTTGGATTTTCTTCCTATATGGTGAATAAATTGGCCTCGTATTATTTATACAAAACCCCCGAAAAATAAATAAATTATAAGCAATGTTTATTTGACCAAGTGGATTTATGAGAAATTTCTCTTCTGTTATATGATTTCACAAGAATACTATTGACTTTGAAATAATAAATAAATATATAAAAGATTATTATTATTATTATTATTATTACAATATTGATGGTTGATTTTGATACCAATGACTTCGCACGTGCAAAGTGCTAAGAAGATCTTAGAAATTACACGTAAATTGATTATGAGAGTTGAATGAGGTGTTGTTCTCACAGTAACATCCAAAGACGTAAAAATAAAGGAGATAATAAAGATTTTTATAGTGATTCATATGCTTAAAGCAAATCCTACATCCACTGTTTTTTTTATATTAGTGCATTCTTGGCCGTTAACCTATATATATATATATGTTGATGCTTGATTTTGACACCAATGACTTCGCACGTGTTTAGTGCTAAGAAGATCTTAAAAATTACATGTGAATTGATTATGAGAGTTGAATGGTGTATTGTTCTCACAATAGCATCCAAAGACGTAAAACATAAAGGAGACAGTAAAGATTTTTATAATGGTTCAGATGCTTAAAGCAAATCTTATATCCACAGTTTTTTTTTTTTTTTTTTTTTTTTTTTTTTTTTAATATTAGTGCGTTATTGGCCGTTAACCAAGATTACAATAGGTCGCAAACTGCGATCTGGGGTTACAGGTGCTTAATGTTCTAAGTGTTTTTAGACAATATTAAGTCATCCTCTTTCTCGTAGTGTGTCTTTGCTATTTTCTTCGCTGAATTCAAAGGGTCTAATCCCGATTTTGTGAGGGGAAGTTACCTATTTATACCCGCTGAGTTCAAGATAATCATTACATTTCTGCAAGTGAGTTGGTGTCGTGCAAATTTCTCCTATCTTCCCACTGATTGAGAACTTAAGAGATATCCTTAAATTAAATAAGGTTGGGATACGTGTGCGAACCAAATTCATTCACAAGCAAAACTTGAGTCAACTAGATTGTTGACAACTATATTCTTTCTGTCTTAGACGACGTGGCAGACTCTGGACGATACAAAGCCTTTTGGAACTCTGATTAGTGTTTGCTAACATCAGCTTATGTTAATCCTGATTTTTAGGCATAACAAGATATATGATTTTTTATTGGGCATTAACCAACCACTTTATACAAAACTTTTATGTTAAAATATTTCTTGAATTAAATAATACTTTTTTTCTGCTGTACTGGTCTTTCAATTTCGTTACGTGAACCTACATGTTTGGGCAATCACCTCCATTCAAATAACAAGAGTTTGAATTGAATGGGCAAAATTAGGTTTACTTTTGGGCAGTTTTGTAACAAAAATATTGCAAAGTACTAGAAACAGAATAGATTTGGCTAGCCAATATATCAAACATCTGGTGTGCATTATTGAAAATTTGGTGCCAACTTTAAAACCGTCTTATCATCTTAAAACACACAAGTTTGTACAGGAGAATTTATATAAAAAGTGTGCATATAAAATATTATCCTAAAGAGAAATATTTACATGGAACAATCTCATCACCTCATTTTGTTGATTTGGTGACTGGTGGGATCCTTCAATTAAACAAGGATACCTAATTTTAATTTTCAAAGCCACCTCTCATAATGATGGTTATCCGTGAATGATAATGGACAATTATTTTTTAATCGTGTTGATGACTGAATGAAAGAGAAAATTTTGTAAATATGTGACAATATTTACCATTAAGTCATTGAACAGTCTAACCACTTTGTCGAGATGGTGAGATTATCCCATATAAGAGTATCTTTAATAGTTCTTTTTATTTTGAAGAACATATTTCATATAAATAAAGAGCATATTCATTAATTTTAAAATATAAGGAACACAATTTTTATTCAAATCCAATAGACTCTTTAAATTTAATGAAGATGGTCTTTATTTTTAAGAAAGAGACCATGGGAGAGAGAATTAATAAATAAAATATATAGAAACTTATAATTTATTAATTAAAATTAGGATAGAAAGTAAAATTTGACTCTCCAAACGTGGAGAGTCAAACTCACTCTCTAATTTATATTTTAAAGATAAAGAATATGTTAGACTCTTATTTTTATGGATAGACTCTTTATAATAAAGAGTTTGGGTCATATAAAAAGTTATTTAGAAATGCTCTAAGTTTCTTTTTCTCTTTCTCTAGTGAAAATTTAAAAAAATGGTTTATATATTTATCATCATAACTAGCCTAGCCATTCCTTATTGAAGCAAGAAAAGAGGAGAGCAACTTTGTTCATTTTTCTTGTCTTTTTTTCCAATTTTGTTAATAACAAGTTAACCAAACAAGTTTATATATATATATATATATATATATTTATATAATGCTAGGGACACCGAAAATTTTACACCGAAAATATGTACCGGCCTACGTATAACATGCCTCTGATTTGTTTAATAATTTTTTTCTAGTGAACGGCCATCCATCAAATTTGAACGGCCGTTCACTCACATGGACGCCCGTCCATATTATATGAAAAAAAAAAAAATTCTAGTGAACGGGCGTCCCCATTTAAAGGACGCCTGTCCATAAATAAAATATGAAAAAAAAAAAAACTTTGGGGACGGCTGTCCCTTATGTTTGGACGGGCGTCCATTCCATACTTAAAACGAAAAAAAAAAAAAAAAACGTTTGGACACTTAAAAAAAAAAAAAATTCGTCTTCTTCGTCTTTATTCCCCAGCTCCTAGGTTCTCATGTTAGTTCTTAGATTACTGCCAGTTTTCATTAATTGGCATTCCAACATCACCATATAAATCTGGGTTTCTCTCTCTCTCTCTCTCTCTACTGTAATGCTTAGTTATTCTTGCCATCCTCGCCCATGAAAATGTATTTTAGTATGCATATTGTTCGTATGATTATTATTATTCGCTGGCCACTTGGTGATTTGGAAATTTCTGAAGGCACATTTAGTGGTGTCTAGAGAGCTATCTGGTTCATGTCCTGTGTTATTTGTGAAGACAAGAGAGATCTTCTTCATGTTTCCAACAAATTAAAATGTATATATTGTTGCTTATATGTTTGGCCAAGTCTCATTGTTTTCTTTTTCTTCTGTTCGGCTGCCTGTGAGAATTGAGAAATAGCAGAATTTTCTGAAGCTTCTAAAGGCTGTACTTAAGACTGGGAACCGCATGAATGTTGGGACAAACCGTGGTGATGCTCACCGCCTTTAAGCTTGACACACTCCTCAAGCTTGTTGTGTCAAGGGTGCCAGGGAAAAACTACCCTACTGCATTTTGTTGTACAAAAATTATAAGAACTGAAGGTGCTCATCTTTCGGGTACTAGCCAAAATCCTGATGATGCCAAGTGCAGGAAGCTAGGCTTGCAAGTTGTATCTGGTTTAGCTCAGAGCTCCCCAGTGTGAAGAACTGCTGCCATGGATTCTGACGTGCTCACAGTGATTGTCCAAGCTTTCTAGAGCAAAATTGGATTATCCCTCTCATGGCCTTTTCAATTTTCCTCCTGGGGTTCGTCCTGTGCCTCTGGAAATACATATTTAGGGAGTGGATATCCAATTTTGATCGCAGGATGCAAGCCATGACGAAACCCAATATACTGCATTGTCCAACATGCCAAGAATGGAAAACCTGTGCTTATTTGTCCCTTTAAGAAAATATGTGCAGTATCTGTAGAAACCAACGTCCAAACGTTTTTTTTTTTTTTTTTTTTTTTTTTTTTTTTTTAAAGTATGGACGCCCGTCCAAACATAAGGGACGGCCGTCCCCAAAGTTTTTTTTTTTTTTTAATTTTCATATTTTATTTATGGACGGGCGTCCATGTGAGTGAACGACCGTCCAAATTTGATGGACGACCGTTCACTAGAAAAAAATTGTTAAACAAATCAGAGGCGTGTTACACGTAGGCCGATACATATTTTCGATGTCCCTAGCATTATTGATATATATATATATATATATAGAGAGAGAGAGAGAGAGAGAGAGAGAGAGAGAGAGGAAAATGATAGAGTTATCAAAAATTACACACTGAATCCATACACTGAATGATGTGGTAAAATTCTGACCGTTAATTAATATTAACTTATGATGAATCGACGGTCAGGATTTTGTCACGTTATTCGGTGTACGAATTCGGTGTGCATCCTTCTATAACTGTAGCATTACTGATATATATAAACTTGAATGTTGTGCTATCAGCCAACTGCCTCCCATAAAAATCAAGCTGTCATCAACAAAGGGCCACTTGAAAGTTGAAACAACCCCAAGAAGTCATCAGAGTTTGATGAAGAAACAATTGCTACACATTGCAATTTCTTCAAGCCAGCAAGCAAATAAAGTATAAACTGACCATTGATCCACACTGAAGGGGGTCTGGACAGATAAAAGTTGGGCATACATTCGATGTTGAGCCATTATTTTTCTAAATGTAAACAAA